TAAGTATTGTCAAGAACCACCAAGCTCTTTCTCAGCATACCTCTTAAGACTCTTGCGAAAATACCCAAGTGGATTTTAGCTATTTCTAATTCTCTGAAGTCTCTCTGTCCAGGGTTTGCTGCCCTTAACTGGGCATGAATGTGGCTCATCAGTGAAGCATGCCCGTGGAGATTTTCTTTTTTGCCTTTGGTTTTGGAGGGCACAGTGCTGTGCATTCCCAAGGGTGGAGGGCAGACTTGGGAAGCCTGGGTCTTCGGTCACAATAATCCCAGTTACCAGAAACAGCTAAACCAAATTTATAACATATGTTTCCACAGGCTCAGATGCCCACCATTTGTCCCGTGACCTTCTGTCTTTAAACAAATGCCAAACAAGGAGATTCAATTAGTAAGTCTAATAAAGAGTCAATTTGAAACTCACTGCTGAATTTATGTAATCTCATACCATTGGTCACGCTGAAAGCTTTACACAAATTTATAGCTGTAGTGAAGCGAGATCCTTACCTTTCTTTATAGTTGAATTGGTGTCAAGGCAGATTGGCTGCTATTAGGAGAAAAAGCTTCACAGGAGAAAAACCCAAATCATATTCTCAAAGGAGGAAAAATCAATCACATCACACCAAGTTTTGGAATGAGAAACAACAGAGCAACAACATTCATTCTTCTACTCAATAAATATTCATTGTGCTTTTTTGACATGACAAGAATCATACAAGCTTTCCAGAACACAGAATGGGAAGGATGGTCTTTGGTCTCAGGAATTCGGAATTTTATGTGCAGATACACACTAAATAGTAAGAGTCATTTACCACACAATATGATAAATATTATGATAGGAAGAATTACAAGGTGCAGTGAGAATCTAAATTGTATAATTCCTAAGTGTTGCTAAGAAATTCCATCTCCACCATTAAAGCAGTCAACAGATTACTTCATGGTTTTACCACAGATAGTCCTATGTCTTGGGAAATTCCCTAGTTTGAAGCAAATTAAGATGTTTCATCACTGTACCTACACTATTAAAACCACACTACCACCTCCCAAAGAGTTATATCATTCTCTTTGTGAAGACCACGTTCATTCTGAAAGCCACAAAGGAACAGAATGATTTCATTGGAATGAGGATCCAGTTGTTGTTGAAAAAAGTCAATCTTTCATGGCTCTGGTAGACCAAATGAGGGGTCAGAATGATGGTCAGAGAGAATTTAAACTCATACATGATGCCTCTGACCCTTGAGTACTCCTGAGTATTTAACCTAATGAACACTTGCATGTCCATTGATAAAGCTACATCAGATGTTGTATTAGTTGGAATAAACTAGGTTATACTGCTAAATCTTTGTGGCTTATAAGAACAAAAGTTTATTTGCAGAGCGAGCCAGTTGGGGCTGTGCTATTCATCTCACTCTGGGAGCCCAGCAGATGGCAACACCCCTCATTCCAACACTATCTGTTCCCGAGGGAAGAGGGAATAAAAAACACTTTTCCTGTCTTCAGTATGGTTGGCTTATTGTCTTCCAATTTCAGAAATTCTTAAACCGATATCAGATGATTTTAAGATTTTGTTTGTTTGTTAAAGCAGCATAGCATGATCTATGCTGACTGATGGGGTTAGTTTATGATGCAGATGCAAAACTTAGAGGAAATTAGAAAGATAGAGTGCTTGGTACCTCCTTAGAGGGCAATATGAATATTTGAAAATTTACCCTTCAACATTTGTCTGTCTCCTTAGATTACTCAAAAAGCAAGTTGTTTAAAAAATAAAGTTAGCGATGGAGTTAGACTAAGGTCAAGACACTGTGAAGAAGTCAGCATTCCTAATTCAAACTTAATGGGAACAAGTTTCTCACAAAGAAACACTTTTTCCTTCTGAACTCAAACACTGCAACCTGTGTGGGATGTGGTGGCTCAATTCCAGTACTCCGGAGACCCAGTGGGAAGATCACTGGGATTCAAGACCAGCCTGTGCTACATAGTGAGTTCAGGTCCAGCCTGAACCACATAGGGAGACCTTGTCTCAAAAAACAAAAACAAAACAAACATACAAAAATACTGCAACCTTGGTCCCACCCAGATAATCTCATCACATATAATGAGCATGAGCAGCCTGTTACACAGCCAGAAATTAGGGTTAGCACAGAAATGCTACCCAAAAAAAAAAAAAAAAAAAAAAAAACACCACCAAGGATGCATCATTCTCATGTTTTTAAATAGATTTTTTAAAGTCACTGGATCATTTGGAACACATTTCCCATCAGTTTTATAACATTTTAACTCTATTGCCCTCCATTTCATCATAAGCTTCCTGTTCATGCTAAAGATAGTCATAAACAATTCTGTAGCTGATATCTCAAAAAGGAAACATATGTAAAGTCCCAACTACAGTCACTTTTCTCTGAGACTGGAAGAGCTCTACTTCCTAGAGTATACTGTTCATTCGCAAATTGCCCTTTGACAAACAAAAATGGAATGTTTGTACAAACGGCTTCTCTTTTTTCAGAAATGCCCTTAAAGAATAAGGTCTGATTACAGAGTGAGGAGCAGGAAAGATTCTCCACTACAAATCATGGAGTAGGAGTTTCAGCCACTGCTGGAGTTTTGCATACCTAAAGCCATCCGTTAAGTTCTGATGAGTATGTTCACAACATATTTCCTCTGTAATTGAACATCAAACTGCTCTGACCTTTTAGTTAAACAAAATGAAATGTTTCTCTTAGTATGATGAATACATGAGTCCTTTTTAAAAAAAAATCCATAAAAGCTGAATTCTATTTAGGCAATTCTCATAATGATCTTGCTTGGAAATATTGTCCTATAACATGAATTTTATAGTGAATGATTTCTTCCTCTGATGAACACAGCAGTTACTTAGCAGTGTTCTTATGTATTAAAACACATTCTCTAGGGTTCAATTTGGTTAGTTCCACTCCTTAGGATACTTGAATTGAGATTGCAGCATAATCTCATGAGCATCTCTGGACAGGAAATTGCCCAACAATGTAACTCCAGGGAGGTGGCAAGAGACCAGTCTGCACCTGATGCTCTGAATATGTAGGATGATGAGACCCTGGAAGAAACATAGAGGAAAAGGCTCCTAAGGAGACAGCTAGTTTCCCAGGCAGCACTCTGCTCAGGAAATAATTACCTTTCCTACCAATACCCTTCTAAGTCTTTAAACCCCTCCTTTGTTTGTGGACAAAGGGCCTTCAAAGAATTCAGGCAACAGGAATTCTAAAGGACACGTTCCACATATGGTACTCTCAGAATGCAGTCTGAATATAAAGGACCACCAATCCACAATGCCTACAAGGTCTAAGTCCATGCAGTTCTAAAGAGGAATGGAAAGGAATTTATAGTACCCAACATGGGAGACTCAGACTCCTAAGATTCATGAAGGGACTTAAGAGAATCAGAGATTGTGCACAAGGAAAAAACAAAAAACTCTCATTCACTGAACACATTGATTCCTTTGACAAGTATTCATCCAAAACCCATGATATGTAAAGTACACTGCTAGGTTTTTTAATTAATTAGCAAGCAAGACAACTGTGGCCCCTGCCTAAACAAAACACATCTGGAATAAAACAACTGATTTCAAAAATAATCCTTTAATTTATGATAAATGATGCAAAAGAAAGATACAGGATAGTAAGAGAAACTACACTCAGGAACATGATTAGGTCTAAAATTTCCAGCAAGCCAAAAAGGTGGAGGAACATAACTAACTAGCAGAGCAAGAAAAGCAAAAGTGAAAAGGAGACTGGCACTGTGGAAAAACAATGACAAGTCAAAAGCAGCCAGTGGCTGGAGCACGTACCCAGCAGGTAGAGAGAGGGCAAGGCGGGGGGCTGGCACAGTACTGTGCCTGAGGCAGAGGCTGGGTAACGGCTGGCTGCTAAAGTCTATAGCATAGGAAGTTATACTCAAATATTTCAAGGAAAGAGACACTATGGTAAGTCGGGTTATCTTGTGGTGAAGCTGAAATTGTTATGCTTTGACCCATATTGTTATGTTGTTATGTCCTCTTTATCTCAATCTCCCTCTTTTTAAAAAAGTAATTATTTATTTATTTATGAATATTATTTTTTTAATTAAGGGAAAAAATCAAAAAAATTAGCAGGATGTATTATAGTAACTTTTTTGATTTCCTATTAACTTGATTTGAAGCCCTGTATTGCTCCCACCATCTTGTTTTGACTGATTTTACTCTGTTCTGTTGTGTTTGATAGTATCAAGTTTGAGGGTATAGGCAATTACTTTGAAGGCAATAAGATTCACTATTGACGCCCATTCTGGTTTGACTATTATCTTCTTTTGAAGTCCTGAAATGTCTCCAATGTTTAGGTTTTATTGGTCTTGTTCTGTACTGTTTTGTTTAATGCATTATACCTGATGATATAGGCAATTCTTTTTAAGGTAGCAAGAGGCATTATGGTAACCAGTGTTGATTACCTTGTATTCTGTTTTTACATCATGTACTATGTCCATCTTTTGTTTTGACTGACTGCTTTGTTTTGTCACATTTGGTTTTATTCTCTTCCAAAAAAAACCAGTAATAACTATGGGAGTAATAAAACCCAAAATGTGTAAATTTTGTTGTAAAAAAAGAGAGAAAAAAAAGTGCTCTAAAGGATACAACTGCAAGTGTGTTTAGGTGTGTTAAGATAGATGACCATATTACTAGGTTTTTGTTGGATCATTGAACGCAACTGTTTGCAGTCTCACTGTTTGAATGTCCACTTTGTATGCTTTAATCCTGTAACTTGAATAACTATTTCTAAGATGACAATATGTAATCTATTAACTAATGATTTCTTACTGTTTTTTTTAAATTCTTTATTACTTGTACCCTTATACTGTTTTGTTTTTTTCTCCTTTAAATAAAATTTTTAAAAAGCTTTAAAAATTCTATAAGTAATTTAAATTTTGTGATAATATCAAAAAATACAAAATATTATGCAAAGTTACATGAGAGGCTGTATTCTTTACTCTCCACTCCAGTCTTCCATCAGAATTAAATGAGACACTGGAAACTTCAAAAAGTCATCGGTGAAAAAGGAATCAGACACACACACAACCTACCAGGCCAGCACAGATGTGTAAGTTCTGCCTTGAGCCAGTGCCTCAGTGTCTGTTTTAAAAGCAGAGTCTTACTGCATAACTCAGGCTGCCCTTGAACTCAGAATCCTCTTGCCTCAGCTCTCAGCAGTGCTAAAGTTACAGGTATGTACCGCTATAACTACCCCTATAAGAAAAACACAGTGATGCAAATTTCCAAGACAGCATTCAAACTCAGGCGAACTTCAGGCTCATAAACACATTAACCTTTCTCTACAAAGACACACTATATTTTCATGAGTTTATATTCTTTTTCCTTCTTTCAGTAACAGTTTTAAAAGTTTTTAAATATGGACACAGGAGGATTTCAGCGAGTTCAAAGCCAACCTGGGTGACAGTCAATTCAAAGTCAACCTGAACTACACAGTGAAACCCTGTATCCAAAAGAAAAAAACTTAAAAGTCCAATGTTCTGAGCTGAATTATGTTGTCCCCTCTTAAAATTCATATATTGAAGCCCTAATGCCCATTATATCAGAATATAGCTAAAGATTATTTAAATTAGATGCAAAGCCATTATCCATAAAAGAAAAAACTTAAAACTTAATGAATTTGACTTCAATAAAATATAGCATTTCAGCACATCAAAAGATGCCAGTGATACAATAAAAAAGTAAAATACAAACCGGGAAAAGATATTAATACATGCAGCAACCAAGAAATTAAAATCCAAAATACATAACAGACTTCTGTAAACTGAAGAAAAGAGACAATGAGGCCACATTTTAAAAAACTGAAAAAAGACTTGGAACAGACACTCAAAAAGTGATACTCAAGTGGCCAAAAAGCACTTGAGGAAATTCTATTATGACAAGGAAACACAAAGTCAAACCACAATGAAACAACACTACATGACTAATGGAGTTGCTAAAATTAATATAATTGACCGTATCAACTGCTGTCAAGGACACGGAGTGCTGAAAACCGTCGTGCTTTCCTCACTGGTAGGAATATCCGACCATCTGGGGAGATCGCTAGTGTTATCCACTAAAGTTCAACATCTTTTCAGCAGCCCTAGTCTCAAATACATACCCAACAGAAATCCATCACATATGCATCAAGACACGTACAAGACCTCAGCAACATTGTTACTAATACCATAAACTAAAAATAACTCACATTTATAGCATGGAAAAATTATAAATATAGCAATTAAAAATTTAGCACTACAGCTACGCAGAGAACCTGATTAAACTGTACAAGCATAATGTTTGGGAAAAAAACAGAAATAAATATATAGTACAGTATTTTTATACATAATTTATATGAAGTCCAAAACCTGGCAAAGATAATCTGTGAGGTTAGAAAGCAGACATCCTTGAGAAGGGAGTGCTGGGTGCCAGGAAGGGGCTTTGGGAGGAGCCTTGGGGCGACTGGTAATGTTTGTTTCTTGGCTAGGATTGAGTAGGATAGAAGAATACTTATTTTAAGTTTGTGTGTGTACAACAAAAGGTAACTGATTAAAAAATGGAAAATAAGAGAGAGAGGGAACAAATACCAGGTAAAAGCAAAAGCAAAACAAGACATTTATATTGGGAGACACAACTAAAAACACACGTGACTCCAAAATCATGAAATCAGAAAATAAGCCATCTAAAGGTGGATTCTTATTCATTGGTTGGGATGGTTTTATTCTGTTTTACTTGATTTTATTATGTGTGATTGTATAAACAGCTACTTTGAAGAAAACAAGGCATATGGAAGCCATTGCTGATTTAATATCATCTTGCTTTGAAGTCCTACCATGCTTTTGTCCCTCTGTTTCCATTGGTTCTACCATGTTGTGTCTTACTGGATTTTAATATGTATTATAGTATAAACAATTTTTTTAAGGAAAATGAGATATTATAGTAGCCATTGTTCATTTACTGTTATTTGTTTTTGAATGTCCTGTAATACTTTCATTCTCTTGAATGGTTTTATACTATTTTGTTACATTATATATTATTGTGTGTGAAGGTATGCTCAACTATTTCAAAGAAAAGTGACATTATGGTAGGTACTGTTGATATCGAGTTGTCTTGTGAAGTGCTATGTTGTTTGCATCTGTTCTGATTTGCTTTGTTTTATTCTCTTTAAAATAAAATAAAATAAAATTTTTTTAAAAGATGAATTCTCCATAAAACTGCAATCACACACAGAAACAAATGCTTAACTAGAACTTCATTAATAAACACACAGATTAGCTTAAAGATAATTTGCCTCCTTGTAAAGTATTACATATTAAGTATTTACTATGTCACTGACCCTAGGTTGAGTGTTCTAAGCATACTATTTGATTCAACTCCCATATATGATATAGAAATTAGCTAACAATATCACTCTTACTTTGCAAACAAGGAAACTAAATCTTCCCACAGTGATGCAAATTTCCAATACAGTGTTCAAATGCAGGCAAATTTCAGGCTCGTAAAAACCACATTAAACTTTCTCTACAAAGACACTCTATATTTTCTTTTTTTTTATTTAAAGAGAAAAACAAAACAAAACAGTAAAAGGCTACAAGTAATACAGAATTTCAAGAGAAAAAATATACAGTAAGAATTCACTAGTTAATGGATTACATATTGTCATCTCAGAAACAGTTGTCCAGGTTACAAAATTAAAGCGTACAAAGTGGACATTAATACAGTGAGATTGCAGACAGTTCTGTTCAATGATCCAACAAAAGCTCAGTAATATGGTTTTCTATCCTACACACTTAAATATACTTGCAGTTATATCCTTTAGATCACTTTCTTTCCTCTCTTTTTTACACTAACAATACACATTTTGATTTCCATTACTCCCACAGTTCTTATAACTTTTTCTTTGAAGAAGAAAAGAGAAAAAACAAAACAGAACAAAGAAAAACCCAATGTGACAAAGCAAAACAGAGTCAGTTAGAACAGGATGATGGGCATAGTATATAATGCAAAAAGAGATTACTAGGTGATCAACAATGGTTACCATTATGCCTCTTGTTATCCTAAAAAGAGTTGCCTATATCAGCTAGTATAAAAGAATTGAACAAAACAGTACAGAACAAGACCAATAAAACACACATTGAAGATCTTACAGGACTTCCAAAGAAGATAATAGTCAAACCATAATGGGCATCATAGAGTATCTGGTTGCCTTCAAAGTGGTTGCCTATACCCTCAAATTTGATACTATTAAACAAAACAAAATATAATAAAATCAGTCATAACAAGATGACACACTATATTTTCATGGATTCATATTCTTTTCCTTTCAGTAACATTTTTAAAAGCTTTTAAATACCAATTTACATATTTTTAAGTTTTTTCTCTGATATTTTATCATTTTTATGCTATTCGAGTAAGATTCTTTTTCCATTACATTTTCCAATTAGTTACTGCTGCTTATTATATCCACTGATTTTTTTTTAGGAACCCTTGTAGCTGACTAGAGACTGTCACATTAGCTTTAGTCGATTCCCTTGGATATTCTAGGTAGTCAAGGTGAGGCACGTAAATAATGTCAGCTTGCTCTCTTCCTTTCCCCTTGACTCCCTCATTTGCCAATATTTATGCATTTGATGGCAGGGGGAAAGTTCATTAGAGAGGGCCGGGGGTGGGGGAGGCTTTCATATTTTCCTGGCAGAGGGAACTCTGTCGTGAGCACGAGGTTATGCAGCAGCCTGACAGTTTCCAGGAACCGGGAGCTGTCTGACATAGCTGCAAAGCACAAAGATGGTAACTTAAAAGGGAAGATAAGGGGTTCTGAAAGATGACAAGCCATTAAAAGACTTCAAGCAGGGATGTGGCATGGTAAGATTTACATTTAAGATAAAACGCCGCGTCAGCAATGTGGAGCGAGGACTGGCGGGGAAGGCCTCGCTGAAGAAGGGAGAGGGGTGGGGGCATCAGCAGTTAGGCAGCCAAGAGCCATCCATGAAGTAACAGAGGGAGGGCGTGGACCTGTGAGGAAGGAACACTTCATCCACAGGCTTCTTCAGCTGTGACTCTGACCCGGTTCCTTAATTCCCCCAAGCTCTTACCTGTAAAATTAGGATAATAGTGGGTTCAGTCCCAAGCACCACACACACACACACACACACACAAATTACAGTAACAGTAAAATCCAGCCTGACTATGAAGTTTAAGCAAGATAATTTGTGTGTTCAGGGGACTTAAAAACAATAGCTCTTAAAATGAGCTACACATGAGCAGTGTGTGAGAAGTTGAGGTCACAAATTCTAGGAATACATATCATCAAATGCCATCAAAGAGTTGCCACTTCCTCTTCTGCGTTATGATGTAGATGTATTTATCCATGATGATGTTACCCACACCTTAAGTTCCCCCTTTTCTCTGCTCGCTATGTCTTACCATTGTGCTCACCACCATAACTGCTGTAAGCATTGTATTTGCAACAAAACACAGCTAAACTACTTGGTTCATGTCGTACTATGACACCTCAACAACAAAAAATACACAACTCAATTTCTACAATGGTCCAAGGACTTGAATAGGTATTCCTCCAAACAAAATGTTCAAATGGCCAACAAGCACATAAAAAGATGTTCATCACTACTCATTAGGGAAATATAAATCAATATTTAATGGAGTACCATGTCACACTCACTACAGTGGCTATATTAAAATAAAGAACATAAAAGAATACTGCAGATGTTGGGAAAAGACATGAAAGAACAGGAACCCTCCTATATTACTGATAAGAATGTATAGTTCAGCTACAGTAGAAAATAGTTTGGTTTTCCTCAAAATGTTAAACATAGAATTACCACATGACTTAGCAATTCTACTCCTTGGTTTCACCCAACAAAATTAAAAGTAAGTGTGCAAATAAGTACGTATGTATATGTTCACAGAAGTACTATTTATAATGGCTAAAAAGAAGTAGTCCAAATGTCTACCAGTAGAAAACTAGATCCAACAAAAATGTAGTATATACACATAACGGAATATAAGCACAAAAAAATAATGAAGTACTGGTACATGCTACAAGACAAGTGAACCCCAAAGACATTCTGCTAAGTGAAAGAAGCCGACACAAAAGGTTGATTGTTATATGATTATATTTAGTAAATCCACAGCAACCGAACACAAATTGGCAGTTGCAAGAGCCATGGGGGAAGGGTGATAAGAAACAACTACTTACTTAATGATTATGGGATTTCCTTTAGGAGCAATGAAAATGGCACTAATTAGAGGTGATGGTTATACAACATTATAAATGTACTCAGTGCTACTGAAATTTTCACTTTAAAGTAGTTAATTTTACATTATATATAAATAAAATAAATAAATACATTTTTAATTGGTGTGAATGCCTCTTCAGAAAAAGGTAGATGTTATTGACTGCTGAAGTTCATCGGTTCCTGCTCAAGTCACCAATGAATAAAAGATGATCTGCATTAAACCACTGTGTACCCATTCTGGTCAGAGCTTTTAATGCCCAGGCACCAACAGCCCCAGTTCAGAGCAGTGCAATCTCTTGATGCTATCAATACCTTTAACCAGTTGACAGTTACACTGGTGTCTTTTTTTCTTTCCATTATCTTGTCTTCCCACAGTCTCTCTGAGCACTCTCAGATGTGGGCTGTTCCACAGGCCTTTTAAAGGCAGTTTTTGTCCCCCTGAGTCGCAAATTTTCTTTGGATGTGATGCTTCTTTGCAAGCCCTGACATCCTACATGTGAAGATACTAAGCACTTTTATGTGTAAACTATAACTCCCATGAGATTAGAAATTATGCTTCTTTTGTTCATCGCTATAGTTAGCACACAGCAACAGCCAAATTTAGTTTATCTGTTTACCATTTTGACTGTTTCTGAATGCCACAGCACTGGAACAAAAATTTTAACTTTGTAACTATCCTCTGTACACAGGGGGAAAAATGATTGACTGGCTAAGTCTCTGAAATTGCCATTCTCCTCCAGAGAAAAAATATCATTAAGGCTCCTGTAGTCCACCAATGAAACAAAATCCTGCTTAACCTCTTCCACCTCCGGGTCTTCCTTGGGACGCCTTCATGACTGCTTAAAGGTAAAACTCAAGAATACCAATTCAATAGAGTTTCAAAAGTGAATAACACTTTCATTTATTTCTTTCTGCTCATCATCCAAATCACTTGAGTAATTGCATTAAGAAAAGATAAAGCATCAAAAACTCTCATTTTGGGGTTTTTTTTCCCTTTTATTCAAGTAACTCACTTTTTTCCAATGACTAATTTCCCAAGAAATGTTGCCACCACTGGAAACTAAGATTGGACCATTTTATTGCTTTACATAAGCAAGACCTTAATCTAGCCTCAAGGCTCAAAGAAGATTTTGCAGGTAATAATTACAGACAAGTGGTGTCTCAAAAGAAAAGATATTTTGACACTGTTAAGACTCACCACGCGTAGGTGCCTCCTCTGCGTCAAGGCTGGTATGTGAGAAGAATGCTAATTTGTTAGTCAGAGAGCTTGGAGTTTGAATTGTAGCTATGCCACTTACTTACTATGTGAGCGTAAGCAAGTTTTTAAACATCTCCGAATATCAGTTTACTAATCTTAAAAAGTGGAAATAACAGTTACCTCATAGAATTATAGCATGGATTAAGTACGTTAGTGTATTTAAAGATTGTCTGGCACGTGTTATTCCCTCAATTAACAGTCGTTATTCTAAACAGGGCTCATCTTATTAAGGTAAAATTCTATTTACCCCCTGTTCACACACATACACCACAAGGACTTCCTCATCTGATTTTCTGGCTTACTTAATAATAGAACTATCAAAAGAGAAACATAACATTAACTGTATTATGTATAATAGCCATGCAAAGCTTTCAAAACAGCTTTCAATAATGCAATCTATGTATATTATGAAGTCAAACAAGTTTATATTAATTTTAACCAGCAGAGCACGGTGGCACATGCCTGTAACCCAGCAGCTGGGAGGCCGAGGCAGGAAGATCATCACAAATTTGAGGCCAGCCTGGGCTACATGGAGTATTCAAAGCCAGCCCAAAACTACATAGCAAGACTCTGTCTCCGAACAAAAACAAACCAAAATAACATTAATTTGAAAGTGGCAGGGCCCTGGGGCAGAGCTAAGGAGCAGCGTGGTTTCTCAAGGACACAAGATAACTTCTCTATCACAAGGCTGGAACAGTTGAAGGAAGCTATAACTTCAGAGATAAGAACAAGAGAGGTCTATGAACTGGTCATCCACAAAAGAGGATTTGGGGGTAGTGATGATGAGCTAGTTGTGACCCCCGAAGTGTTTCCTCACATCAAGCTTGGAGACACAGTGGAAACTGCTCACCACAACGATGAACACAGCCCTCTGCTTTTACAAGTCAAGTCACTTAAGGAAGATTTACAGAAAGCAGCTATCAGTGTGGACCAGACTGTGACTCAGGTGTTCCCGCTAAGACATTATCAAGATGTCTATGCGAATGTTGTAACCTTAAGGATGTGGCCCTTGACCTACTGGGACTAACTTTTAAGGATCAGTGTGTCAGCAGGAGGATACCTGGTGACTAGAGAAAAGTTTGGTCAGCACCTGTGGCTGTATCACCCAGACGGTGGAATTTCTGGCTTTAGGTCACAGGCCGGTGAGCTGTGGGTCAAGATGAAGAAGGTCATGTGTGGCTCTAGCAGTGAAGACACCGGGGTGTCCATTCCACATCAGCTATGGTTTACACACTTACCCCTATGAACTATGAAATGGAATTTTGATATTTATGGGGATCTTTATTTTAGAAAAGCTATGAATGGTTTCCTGGCTGTTCTGTTTAACAAGTGGAACGGTCTCACTTTGTAGCTCTGGCTGCCTTGAATTTACTGTGCACCCCAGGCTGGCCTGCAGCTAATGGCAATTCTCCTTGCATTAGTGTCCTAAATTCTGGAACTACAGGTGTATACCACCAAACATGGCCTGCAGATCTTTAAAATTTGACTGTCTCTGTTAAGCCCGCTTCCCTAAATTTAGGGTCTTAGCTAAAAGTCTGACTCATAATAAATACCCTGACCATCTCAACATGGTGAGAAACATTTATTAAAAACACATTAAGTGTGATATCACACTTAATGGTGAAAGGTTAAAAAGTTTCCCTAAGATCTGGAATAAAGATGCTTGTTTATCATTGTGCTAGAAGTTCTAGACAGAGCAACCAGGCAAACAAAAGAAACATAACTGTCTTTGCTCACAGATGACATGATTCTACATGTAGAAAGCCCTAAAAAAAAAAAAAAAAGTACCACAAGACAGGTGTGGTGGCAGATTTCTGCAACCTCAGCACTGTGGGAGGCTGAAGCAGGAGGATCACAAGTTCAGACTCAATCCTAGGCAGTTTAGCAATTCAATGAGACCATGTCACAAGTAAACAGTGTCAAAGACAACAAACACATACAAAGAAACAGAGGAAAGAAAAAGGGCTGCGGATGTGGCTCAGGGCGAAGGGCCTGGGATCGCAGTCCTGAGGAGAAAAAAAAGAAAGGTGAACCATCCACACAAAAAAATTTATTAGTGCTAATTTTAGGAACATTTCAGGGTATAAAATCAGTTGAGTTTCTATATTCCAGCAATTAACAATTCAAAAGCAAATTAAAGCATGTGCAGTAGCATCAAACAGAATAAAATATTTGAGTAATTTTCCCAATGACTCGCAAGACTTATATGTGGAAATCTATAAACATTACTGAAAGAATTTAAGACCTAAATAAAAAGAATCATGGGCTGGAAATCATGGACTGGAAAAAAAACATTAATTTTAACGGTATTTACCAAATGTTACCCAATTTTTATCATCTTTTTGTCACATCCATATTTTCCTATCATATATACCCCACACTTTAATAACATATATGGATCCCCGTGTGAAACGAAATCAGATAAAATGAGCATCAAGGAATATATTTTGTGAACACTGGTTGATTCCTGGGGGGCCCAGAAACCATTTTCATAACAAAACGAACATTTGACAGCTATTTAGAGAAGGCCAACTATGTTCAAGACACCAGAGATAAAGTGACTGCCATCTGCGCCCTCAAACAGCGCTCACTACAAAAAAACAGATACAACCAGTCCTACAGCAGCTCTTACTATTCTACAAACCCACTCTATCCCAGCCTGGCCTGCTCAGTGCATCTCACAGACACAAGTTCAGACAAAATACTTTGAAAACGATAAAGATAATTTTCTAGATTCTTTAGAGAAATAACCTTGCTAAAAAATAACAAAACAATAAAAGCTTTCTGAATTATCTCTTGCATCTACCTCTGTTGCCTGAATTCACCAGGTAATTATTCAATTATCCTTTTCTATGCGGATGCCATGGTTATATATGGGACCATGACAGAGAAATTCTGGCAGGATTACATGCAAAATAAGATTTTTCCTATTTCATACCAAACATGATGACATTTAAGCAACTCAAGGGAAATACACTGTGCTACTTAGGCTGCACTAAGAATTTTTATGTGGGACACTAGGTAAATTCCAGGTAAATTTTTTTTCCCTGACAAACAAAATGTGCATAAAGATGTCCTTGATTGCTTTTTTTCTTTCTTGCAGCTCAAAGGCTAATCCAAAAGTTGACCTTATAATCAATACCAGCACACAGCAAGCCAGATGCTCTCAAGTGAGCACTGTTCGCTGCTACTCTGTGCCCTTTGGGAAGAGAAGGAACAGTGTATCATCATTTCCATTATGCCTCTAGAGAACTATTTATGGTCCAATATTCTAACGAAAACCCTAGTGACTTGAAAAAGTTAAATGTTCCTTTCGAACTGCCTTATTTACACCCAGGGAATAATTCAGGATGTATACATGTGTTTTCACACACATACATTCAGCCCATGTGTTTGTCTCATTCAACATGAAAGCAAGAAAGAAATTCCACAGGCTGTATTTGCTTTGGATATCGCTTTACGTAGCCGATGATTGAAGACATTGCAGAATACAGAAAATCTACCAAGAACGTCTCTTGGAAAGTGATACATCAGATTTTGGAGATAATTGCAGTCTACAAAAACAATCACCACATTCCTCTTTAAAAACTTAATGAAATGAAAGTCAAAGGTTATGTTAAAAAGTGAAACCAATAAAATAGGTAATATATTCTGAAATAAGTTTAAATGTCAGTTACATCTACTTATATTATTAAAGTGACAATGTAATTATTATTGGCATATGTGCATCAATTTTACAAGGCCCTTTTCTTCTCTAGGTGCCCACTTAGGCTTCCTGTCTTCCATGTGACTCCCTGACTTGTAGCTGAGGTTGGGTACATTTTCCTGTTCTCCTTATCTTAGCATCCTCAAATAGACCTGGAAAGAATTCTGTAAAACTACTGGCATTTTGATCATCATTTTACAGATAAGAAAACAGAGTCCCACAGATTTCAAGGCAGAGGCAGGAGTCAAACTCCTCTTAAAGGATTGCAAACCTCATACTTGGACTGTAGTCACTGGGAAGTCATCCAGGGGACCTCTCTTCCACTTTAAGATTGTGTTTACTAAACACCAAGAGTCTCAAAAGACAAGCAATTGTTTGTTGACTGTGGTAGTGAACAGAGTACATGGATAATTATGATAACATATTGAGCATTAGTGTGCCCCAAGCACTCTGCTGCATGCTTATGCTCATTCTTTCTTTCAACCTAACCATATCTCATGAGAGAATGAACAATGATTACTACCTTCTACCCATTTTTTACAGATAAAGAGCCTAGACTCGAGAAGTCAAGTAATTTGCCCAAGGTCACATAACTAGAACAAGGCAGAGCCAGGCTCTCAACCAGGTAATCAGACTCAAGAGTCCCTCTGCTCAGCCATCGCACAAACTGCCTAATTCAGTCCTTTCCCCTCACTCCCCTACTCATTAGCTATTTGTTTAAGAAGGGAAGTGCAGCCTATGGATGAGCACCGTTCTTCATATCTTAATAACTACTGAATTCTCTTTTTGTTCGTAGTATATATAAACATATGCTAAAAGTTTTTTAGGCTTAGGTTCAAATTCTGACTTAGCTGTTTACTAGAGGAGTTTGTTCACAATACT